ACTATAACGGATTTGAAGTTACATTGCCACTGATTGGACTACTATAACGGATTTGAAGTTACATTGCGGCTGATCGGTCTACTATAACGGATCTGAAGTTACATTGCCGCTGATTGGTCTACCATAACAGATTTGGAGTTGCATTGCCACTGATTGGTCTACCATAACATATTTGAAATTACAGTGCCACTGATTGGTCTACTAAAACATATTTTAAATTGCATTGCCGCTGATTGGTCTACTATAACGGATTTGAAGATACATAGCCGCTGATTGGTCTATTGTGGCAGTGAAGAGTCTGCGAGATGTTTTATTGAGTTAAAACACCAATTAATAATTACATCAAATTACTAATTATGCATGATGGGTTCATTAGTTTATTTTGAGGTAACTAACAAGTTCAAAATAGATAATTGATTGAGTATAATTGAGTATAATTGAGTATAATTTTAATGTTTCTTTATTAATATCAATGCCATCCGATTGTCGTGTATACTACATCTACTACGATAACTACAACAGTAAACTCATTATATATGCATACTAATTTCGTGACCGCCTACTAAAGACAGATGGAAAAACATACAAAAAAACGTGATAGACAGATAAATGAGAATGTGTATGCAATCAATGATTGTTTGTTCAAATTAAATGATTTAATACTGTACCGAGATGTAGTCAAAAAGGGTGCTTAGCTAGTTGAAGACGTAGAATGTATCATATGTTGCCTAGGTTACAGTCTACACATTCCACTGCTTGTATATATACAATCACAGAGATAGCTTTTTTTATTATTCAGATTAAAACTTTATTGTTGTGGTAGTAATGTTATGTTTATGAACCAGTTTACGGTAAACTGGTTCTAATATTATAATTAAATGAAATATTGGGAACGCAATAAAAAATAATAATTACATCTACTTTCAGGGAGACACATCTATTATTCATCCACCATGCTCTCTCACATGAATGCTGATAGTTGCTAGGTAACCGATTTTTTAAAAATATACTTTCAATATTTTTCAGAATAATGTTTTCACAATTCTTCTCTCTAAAACAGTTTCCTTGAAAGAGAACATAGATGACCAAGTTATTTTATTTCATTACACTATTTCATGACGTAATCATTCAGCTGTGAAATAAGCAATTTATTGTTCAAAGACGTGCCGGGCATATCAAGCTCATCAAACAATTCATCAATACCAATATTAAAAAAAACGACACGACTACATCTCGTAGCATCCCAATTTGATACAAAGAAAGGAAATGGTAGACGATTGCCTTTATCGTAACATCGTTGATTAGTGTGAATTTGGTTTATATTTAGACAACTTTGGCTTCTCATTATTACAATTTGGAAGCATTACAAACCAATAACGTGTCAGTTATGTGAGCGTTATAGCCAGGAATGTAGCTTGCTTCGTAGATATAAATCTGATGGTTTTCTTAATTTCTACTTACAGACTGGTTACATTGTCAGTGCCTTGCATATATTTTCTATTGGGAAGCCTTACAATTCTTGATGTATTGACTGTGTCTTGATGGTTTGCCTGTCATTTAAACTTTGCAAATCGCCTTACTACGCCGTGTGCTTATCTTTTCTGTGTTTTTGTAATATTAATTCAATGTCAACGACCTGTGTAATTCAACTTCTGAGCTAAATGTCATGGAAACCACCGTCACCACAAATCTACACGTCATAGTCCAGTTACCCTCGCGCACACTGTCGTCATACCAACCCAAACACAACAGGTCCAGAATTGTGACAATTTTTGAAGATAAAAAGTTAAGAACGTGTTCGAATAACGCCCACACGATGTTTCAAAATTTAACCTGCTGCTTTGATAATTATAGTAATAATATAATGAGCATATTTTTTAAAGATCAATTTAAAACCGGTGAAATTAAAAAAAATAAACCGGTAGGAAAGAATATAATTATTGATTATATAGTGTTTAATATATGAGGTCGTCATCGTATTCGATGACGAGTTCGACGACCGTTTGTCTTTCTAGTAACTATGACTGATGATTAAGTGGGCATGTCTGTATTCCCGTCGGTCCTTGCACTACGTGAGTCGTAGACACGTTATTGTTGGGTTTATAAATTATGCGAAATACTCGTGCACGTCATCCAATGTGTGTGATTGGACCAATACGAGTGGCCGGCTTTCCTTCGTGTCTTTCTATTGATTGTTAAACTAGCGACAATTTCATCGATACTGCATAGAGGTATACGTGCTTAAACAAAATGTGTGGCTCCATAAATACCAAAAGCTGACGCGGATGTTGACTACGTGTGTAGAATACAATGTAGTAAACATCTAGAATTGTGACTAGAACGTATTAAATACAGAGTCACCTCATTTATTTAGACGAAAGGTCTACATGTAAGTTGGACAATATATGGTTAGACCCTGTAGCTACTGATATATGTGTGTTCATATTCCATTCAATGATAACCTGTTCCATGGGATCTCATGAATATTCATTTGTTCAGGGAAACCATGTGGTGAATGGTTTAAGATTCTACACTTCAAAATAGTAGAACATTTTTCAATCTAATTCGTAACGTGCGGCTATTATATTTGTATAGCTGTATTCAATTGCTTATAATTCTGTGTTCAGTATATCTCTCCTGGTCTCCATACTTTATGCTAGCGTTTGTTCTACTGCATTTGTTATGCAATGATAAATATAAATTCAAACGCCGATCAGTCATTAATAGAATACACCGCCCTCTACGATATCATTCCTTTTTTCATACGGCGTTAGGACGACCGAAACACCATCACAGCAAAATTTTCAAATTTATCAGCGGCGAATTTGTAATTGATTATATGTCACCGTCTCTCGTCATGATTTAACGTTGAATATTGAATGTATGTCTTAAATAAATTCCCGAATGTCGTTCATGCTATTTTAACACAGCGCAGTTACGGTCCTGTCACTAAAATACGTGTAACCATGGAGGTATGGTGTAACTATAGGAACCACCGAGATTCACTTACGAATAAAGTAGAGTTATAGTTCCCAAAATAATCACCGGAAAAATGAAAAACAAAATTTATATAAAAAAAGAGTGACTTGTTTTGAAAGTTCCCTTGGAAACTGTATTATGACGTGCACGATTTCATAATATATTCTCAGATTTTCCGGTATGCCTTAAATTCAGATAAACTTGCATCCATTGTTCGCAGATATGGTTCCATTGTACCGCTAGATCGACGGAGCTGATAATAGTTATCCAAATGTTTCAGATTTGGTGTATGGGCGTTTTGGAGGAAGCCAATTATACAAGGTTATTGCATATTTACTCATCAGCAAAAGACACATTATTATGATTCATAGATATTGCCCATTTTATTAAAAATCTAATATTAAACAAAACAGATTGGGTTTCCGACCCTGCGTTCGTACTCCTCAGAACAGGCCTGGTAATGGAAACAGTTCAATTACCGACGGTAGTACGAAGAGTTGTGCGCATGCCTCAAACAACCACAGATGTGAACAACTCGACTCTTCTGAATGAGTAGAAGCAAAAAACCCGAGTTTAGAATCTTCACTACCACTGTGCCAGTATTGAGAAATATTCTTCATCCGAGGAAGGAACTTTTTTCTGAGATTGTCCCGGTTCCGACACGACGCCAGGCTACAGTGAGCTTCCTATCTCTCCCTCGTCTAAAGCATTCTTAAGTTGATACATCAAAGTGGTATGATGGATTGATTAAAAAATAAATACACTAAACGCGATTGAAAAATAACTACATGTAATTTGAAACAATGCACAATTGACTTATTTTAAACACCAACACCATACCCCGGCCTCCCTGCAGAGTGTAAGCTATTCATATCCCATATAATCGCTCTACTGTTCGGGAAATTTGAGTAATGTACACATTCCAAGAGACCTACGTTGAAAACTTTATTTGACGTGTGTTTTTGAATTCTCATTCTGTAACACGTCACAGTATCCCGGAGCACAAAGTCATTTTCTTCAACTCGATAGTTCAGTCATTCGAACCAGCATTGCTATTTGTTCTGAAAAGCACACTAAGCTGTGTGCTGGCAATTAAGAGAGTTACCTATTTGAATTTTTAAAAAGAACTCGCGAGATACATCGTTACGATTAATTAACTTTTGTTTTGTTTTACGGCTTGCCAAAATGTTGACAATATATCTCAAAAGAATGACAATTAAATTACCATGTTACATAAATCATAAATAAATCTCGAGATGAAGATCGAGATTTATTATGATATAAAAAATATTTGCTTTAATTAAAATTAATGTCATTTTACCTACATATATTTTTTTGAAAATCACTGCAATACAGCAAGTGTGTATGTCTTAATTGAGTTAAAGTTACAAGTTGACAAATACGAGTCAAGTACAATACGTACATTATTTGGTGGTTAACAACAATAGACTTCCTCGCGGGCACGCATTGAACAATAGAGTGTTACTTTACAGGTGAAGCAATTAAAATGTCCTCATCTACAAAACGTGTTTGATTAGTTTTTGCAGCCTTTTTACGACGCCAGAACCTACAACGCTGCGTACGCTGACAAGGGAGGCTGTCATTTAAACCGTGTTGAATTGTGAAGGAATTTTGTTCTTCACTGACTGCTTTGCGCCTGTGAAATGTTCACGCACCGTTGGTCTGCTGTGAACTTTGACACCCAACTTCTGACAGGTTGAGGACTTTACACGCGTCTGTAAAATCAGCTTCTAAGTGAGCCGCCTTTCTATGAGTTGATATTGTTACGTCTTTTGTTCAAGAACCAGGGTTGAAATCAATGGTTCGAAGCATCGTAAATTTGGGTAGTTACCAATGACATTAGGTCATAATAGACTGCCACTACATACCACCGTTCCCAGCGTGACGGACACAAGCTGAATTGCCAGGCGATCGTTACAACAGAGGGAAAACTGACGAAGGCAGACTGAACATGGCACTTACTTAAAAAGCATGCTGTCTCCAGTATCATTGTATGGTATATTTACAGGCTGACGAGACACTTGACTAGAACTATACTGAAGGTATCGTATTGTTTTTAGTATCATTGTTAGAAACATCACGTTCTCGTCAGCAAAGCATTCGTCGAACTGTAATCTGATGGACTGCCCTTTACCCCCCCCCCCAACACTGCATTTAGACTATTGCATTTGCCGATACAGTAATTGTAGCACAAACAATAACCCTCCAACAACAAGTATCATGTGGTTTGTAGTTACTATGACGTCATCTGTGAAATCTTGAAAGTCAGCCTTTCAGAGACATCGACATATTCGTCACATAGAAACGCAATCCATAATGCCATGGCTACGAAAGTCGACCCCTGTCACGAGTACTAGATATATAATAAATATTTTCTGATGCACAGTGCGTGGCCTACATGGCGCAGTAATTTTCAATCACAGTAATTTTCAATCACAAGTATTGCTGGTTTTTCGAAAAAAATAATCTTGGAATTTTAGTCGAAATATTTGAACAATTGGTATTGAACAAATGTGCCAGATTGTTATCGGGGGGGGGGGGGCAGTGACGGTGAAGCATGTAGTCGTCACGCGTTGGTCCCTAGTCATAGCATTTGTCGTCTGTATATATAGTTTGTACAAAACGGTGTGCTTGAATACGGAAGCTACATCTGTCTACTTAGCGAAGCCTGAAACCTCATTAAGTTCTACATCAACTCAAATATAGGGTGTGAAAACATGTTTACCGAGTAAAGGCGATCAGAGCTCCCTGCGTGCCACACCGCGTTAATAATCAGCATTGATTTATGTGTTGACATGGCATAATTATGTCGTACGTATAAAATTGTTGTAGTTACAACGTCCATGTCAGGCGATAAAGGGAGATATCCTATATAAATTGTAACAAGCCCTATGGCCATTACTGGGATTCACGGTGCCGCTTGGCTGGCCACCGGTATAACACAGCGACAGACGAGAATTGTTTGTACAGATCATGTTTCATTTTAGACAACAGCAGTAACAACGGAGCTATTTGTGACTGTAAAGTAAGGTAGGCGGGTGTGTATATTGGTGATATAAATAAACTTTGTTCGCTTGATGTATAACCCAGCGCCTTGCTAATGATGTCAACTCAACTTTAAGTATCTGTCGTAATACGCTGCTTTATAGAGAATTTATGTGCCATGTACACTTATACATACACATTGAGGGCTTGATCTCATTTCCATTATGTTACCCGAAAATTGAAGCAAGTATGTTTCGCTTTAATGTCGTCAAATCGCAATCATTTCGCGTTATTTATTATTCCAGACACAGACGAAATATACACGGTTTTACAGTGTTGTGATACAAATGTCAATATTATTTGTGAAATTCGGATACCGGGAGATGTTTATTTTATCGATTAGTATATTGGTATATTTAATCAATCAGTCAGATATTTGGAAACAACGTCACCGTGACATTTGAACTGGGCTAGACCATTTAAAAACAGGGGACAAAATCTACGTGGAAAAGTACATAATTATTTCTTCGACATCAACTCTGATGGTAGGCAATGTTATCGCGTGTAATAAAACATCGCGACGCCTGTGTTCGTTCTAAAAATCGATACAATGTCATAACGACCATAAATTATGCACTCGCACTGTGGGCATGTTAACGGCATGTTCACTCGACAGCTATATTAACAACACCATTGAAATACATAATGAATAGGATATCCGTGTTTATAAACTATCAACACCTCTCCTTCGTGTATGGCAGTATCATGACGTGCTAACACAAATATTCACAATATTAAACTCCAATCAAACCGAATAAGGTCAGGTACTAAAAGTTATTTTTCTTAAATTCAAAAATATTTCCAAACATTTATTTTTTTATTTGTACAATTATAATGTTCATCTCAGGAGGTCTGACTAATCACATATACTAGTACCCCCTCTACGAATGATATCCCAGTGTATCTGCCAACATCAAGACAAGCCATAATTGCTGCGTCAAAACAACTATAGTGGATCGCCCTCAATGTTTGTTTTTAGAACGTTTTCCAAAGCATACATTTGTAATTCCTAAAGTCTGAATTGAAGAATTGAAAAAAAGGTTCTACGTGGATGAATTGCTTATATAAGTTTCAAGTTTAGCAAAATGGGTACACTTTATTTAAAAAAAAATGTATCACAAAACAAGGTACCTATCACGACTGGTCACGGGACGGCATTACATCCGGGCACAATATCGGTGACTATGACGTCATGCTTTTGAAGTTATATTTACATTTGTAATTGTGTTTTGATATCAATTACAAAATACCACCCAACCCTAACTCTTAAATGCACAAGACATAAACAAAACTATAACACATACACGGTAATTCGCAGACTATAATAATAATATGCGCATGCGTGGTGGTGTGCGTGGTTACTACGGCTCCTAGTATTTGGAAACCAGTTTACAGACTATTTTCAATTTCACCTCTACCGTCTCAGAAAAAGTATTTGATTGTAATCGGACTCGTGTTCAAAATAGACGCATTTAGGCCATTTAGGTTGAGAGTCATTATTCATTTCTTTGGGTCAACAACTACATAAATAATATCCCTATTTCAAGTTGACATATTTATACGCAGACAACTTAGTTCGAATTTGCCACCACACGAAGCATACACATAGAAGAGTAGCGGCCGCAATGTTAGTGGTTGGCGGTGTCTGTGATATATTATACTCGTTGTGTTGACCGTATGTTCGGCATACGGCATATGATATGAAGTCTGTGACGTAACCAATAACACTCTCTCGGCAAAACAAAAGCGTTCTCTACATCTTTAGAAACATTTATAAATTTCAATGAAAGTTAAAGCCAACCAGCCAATCAACAAGAACAGTGCGCAGTGACGTCACTTAAAAACGTTTCAATATTATTCAATCAGCCAATAGAAACCATTCGTTTCAGTTTGGACTTGGAAATTTATAAATATTTATGAAAATGTAAGGAATATCTTTGTTGCATTAAGAATACCACTTTTACCATGAATAAATAAATAAATTAAGTTCTCTTCAAACACTATAAGTCGCCCAAATCTTGAAGTTCAAATTAAAATTAATTCCCGTCAACTCTAGAAAAAGCTCGAAAAATTAGGATTCTTACCACCTATAAAATAGGAATGTCTACATGATTTCCAGGACAACTTAACAGCCAGACAAACTTCTGGCGAAACTGGGTTTCCATGTCGAAATTCCTTCGACTATATTGACCCATACAGCTATGCGAACATTCTGTCAGAAACACGCATGCCTTGATACTGCCATCACAATTACCGACGGCAACACGTCACGTACAGTGCAACTCATACGGGCTGAAGACGAGTCACCGCTGTACTGGGATACTGACTCGAGGCGTTCATGCTCGCCAAGTAACTAACTTTCTTGAAAGCACATTCATTATTTACCGTTGGTGGCGCACTCGAAAGAAGTCATATATATTCACTTGACAATCTCAAACAACTTGTTCTGTTACCAATATGAAACATAATACTTTAAGTTTAAAGTAATCTCACTTATCCGGGGGGGTGGATTGTCTGAATGTTCAGTTTCTGGCGCGTTAAGCTACATAGCAAAATAAGTAATCGGATCACTGGAATGAGAACAGTCACTCTATGCACAGGGAGCCCAGGAACTATAATCAACTGTAATACGCAGTCTCTGTGAGGGGGGTTGTATCGGCTGGTATCTAGTGTAAGAAATAGACAAGGGATGAAGGCTCCAGCCAGCTCACATTTGTTAAACTCGAAAAAACAGACGAAAAAAATAAAAAATAAAATCTAAAAAAAATACCAGGTTGTAGAATATTAGTTGCTCCTTCGAATTTTGCCAAAGCCTTACCTACATTTTACCGATATCTGCAGAATAAATCAAGAAAACTACACAAATTGACTCCATTTAGGAATTCCTAACGGTTTGCCCGAACGCACGGCACAGTTGGAGGCGTGGCCTGTTCAGCATTTGTCAACAACCAATCACAAGACTGGTTACGAACCACATCGAGGTCACGACTCGGTTAGCCTTGCTCAACTGGTGACCCACCCACCACTCGATTGTAATTTTGCCAGTTGCTATTAGACACCACTAGCATGACTAGTTGTAAGACAACCATGTAAAAATATTGTGAATAAAATAATCGTCTGTAATGAACAAGGAAATAATAAAGTTTTTATTTGTTATTTAAACCAACAATAAACAACAAGTTTAAGAAAAACATTCGAGTAAAAATAAAGTAAAAATAATTGTCAAGTTTAACCAGTAGGAGGTACAGGTGCTGGTTGAATTATTTGGCCTGGAAGAAAGTAAAAAAACAAGTAAGTGGTAAGGATTATATAAAGGTAATGAATGATTTGAGTAAGGTGTTGAGTAGAGAAATGTTCAATAGGAAGAACATTGTTGAAATAGATAATGCTTTGGAAATGATTGGACTTTCCATAATTAAATCTTGAGGCACATTGTAAATAACTGGCGAGAGGATGCTGAAAGCACTACCGTGCATTCAAGCATCCTCTCATTGAAAATAAACACAGGTTATGCACATTAACATTATAATAAGGTAAATTAGTATTGTCAACAGAGTGGTATGATGTGCATGAAACGACTCATGGTGCAAAAGCACACAAGTGTTGACGGAAGACCAAAATGATAGGTATTACCA